TTTTTTTTTTTTTTTAATTCCTCTCATGTATTTCCTGTTTGTTTTCTTTCTTTCCTTCACTTTCAGTAATTTGGTGGTGGGAGGGGGCGGAAACTACCCAAATTATACCGAAAAAGAGATCCACAGCAGGGCCATCTAACCACATACACATACACAGAGACTATACGATATATACATTACTTGTAGGGTAGTCTAATCAGTAAACTCAGAGAAGGCGCTACGAGTGTGTGTATACACTCTTCTCTTATATTATTTTTATTTTATTTTTCTATTTCTCTCGCTTCTTACGGTGTGATGTTCCGCACTGCATTTATCTGCCGTCGACGGGCGGTGGCGCTCTTTACATTTAAACACTTTCGTCCCCGCCGTCGTCTTCCCATGACGCCGGCAAATGTCCCTAACGTCTTTGCCGAAACATTAGACCCGCGCGATCGGCTGTTGCGGCAGTCAAGTGCGGGCGCCGGGGCCTCGCGGTTTTTGGTGCTGGACGGGCAGCAGCGTGTGCGTGGTGTTTATCACCCCGTCTTGTGTCTTCCATACCCCCGCGATGGCGATGGGGTGCTTGGCATCACAGTAGAGACATATATGCAGCGGGTGCAGGAGAAACAACAACAACGAGAGCAGAAGAAGGAAGAAGAGGGAGAAAGTGCGGCGGCGGCGGGTTGTGTGTTTGTGGTGCTCGCCCACGGGAATGGACTCACAGCGGCCGCGTACGCCGCAGACGGCGCCTGCACAATGCTGCCAATGCATGTGAAGATGACAGGCACCACTACGTGTGATATGCGGCCATTCGTTGGGGCCGCCCGACTCGCAGATGACTTTGCTGTTATGACTGCAGAATACTTTGCGGATTGTATTCAACCATGCAATACCTTTCTCTTCCTCTCCAACACCAATAGCAGCAACAGCAGTAATGCCTCTGTTTGTACCTTTGGCGGAATGCGAGCCGCATGGCGAGAACGGGGACTTGATGATGTCTCCCCACTCCGTTTCGATGACCCACGCTGGGTTTCACTCCCAGACACGGTTGTTCGTCAGCCGTACAATATCTCTGGGAGTACGAATGATAATAATAACAATAGCAACAACAACAACAACAACAACAACAACAATAAAACGCCGTTTTTTGAACGAGACATCGATGGAGACCGCGTGCCAACAGCTGCCGGACTTGCCGCTGGTATGCAGGCGGGTCTGCTTGAGTTAGATACATAGTATATGGTGGTATCCCATATCTAAGGAAGAAGGCGATATTTGATGGGGGGAAAAGGCAACGGGAAAGAAAGAGAAGGGAAAGGAGTAAGATGAGGAAGAAAGAAAAAAAAAAAAAAGAAGTCAATTGTGTGTATTTTTACACCCTTGACCATTGTTTTTTTTTTTTTTTTAGTGTTTTCTTTTTTATCATGCTCTTGTTTTTATTTCTCAGGAGAGAATAGACACATATAGATGCCTATAACATGAATGGCTTGGTGTATATCATTGGTTTTCAGATTGGTATTAGTGAAATATGTGAACAGGAATAATGAGTGGTGTTTGTGTTATTCGAGGGAGCGAATGAGAAGAATAACACACAATATATATATGTATATATATATATATATATATATATATATATAATACATAAATCCACATCAGATTTACGTCCTATAGAGAAAAAAAAAGAAGAAGGAAGGAAAGAAAAAAAAAAAATCGCATTCTTTGAAAGAAAAGAATTGTCGTGTATATTTGTGGTTGTTTATAGAGCTAATTTAGAGGAAGCTCTTCGCCCATATAAAATATGGGAAAAAAGACGATATATGTCTTTTTCTCCCTATATTGAAATTCTTTTTTATTTATTTCTATATACCATATAGTCAAGTTTTGAGAAGAAAAAGAAAAATAGACAGGAGATGAATAATTGAGGGGGAGGAACGGTGTTTCCGAGTTCGTGTGTTCATGGTTTTTTATATACCACGTTAACAAAGGACTGAAACAAAATAAATGCGAAGAAAAGCAAATGTAACCGGAGAAAACCCTCCATATATACAACTACCGTTTATAGAAGTTTTTTTTTTCTTGTTTGCCTCCTTTTTTTTTTGTTTAACTCTCCTATTCTCTGTCTCTTTTTCTTTTTTTTACTGCGTGCGTACACCCATTTCGTTTGAGAGATTGGTAAAAGAAAGAAAAAGAAAAGAAAAAAACTTTCTCTTCAACCGTAGGTGTACGTAAAACAAAACAAAAAAATAATATCACAATTTGCTGGCAGCAGCAGCAGCAGCATTTTTTTTTTTTTCTACGTTTAGAGTTACTTTTATCATATATATAAATGTTCCTCTTTTCTCTTTTGATAAATATATATATATATATTTAATGTGTGAAACTCATATATTGGTAGTGAAATTTTACCTTCACTTCATATGATTATTTTTTCTTTTTCTTTTGCTCTTTTGATGAAATAAAAGGAAGGAAACAAATCATTTTAAACCAATGCGTCGTGCCTGTTCATTCGCCTCTTCCTCTTTGTACTGTAGTATATCCGCATCTGCGTTGACCCACGCGGCGCGGACTATTATTGCATGCAAAGGTATTGTTGAAAATCGAATTACGAAACACTACTCAAACCGCACAGTCGCAGAAGCGAAAGCAGAGCGAGAGGCACAAATAGCAAAAGTACGTCATCCGAATCCACGTAATCAAAAGGAAGAACTCAGTCACCTTACACATCAATGTAGTTTTGAATACATCCCAGAGTTTCAACGCTGGGCAAATGATATGATGGCTGTTTATAGTGACCCGCAAGCGTATGGACATGATATGGCTTATCATTATCATCGGATATGGAAGGCAAAGAGTCCAACAAGACGTGGTATTGAAGATGGTAGTGGTGCATTTGAGGTGTGTAAGATTCATCCAAAATAGTGTGTAGGTTAGAATTATTTACTCTCGAATAAAATAGGCTTTAGGGGTGGGGTAGTACAGTGTGGAAGAAGAGTATATATATGGAGGGATATTGAGTAGAAAAAGAAAAAAAGGGAGTATAAATAATTTGGGACGTGAAGTATAGGGAAAAATATTTTATTTTTGGGGAGTATAGGGGTGAATATTAGAGGATTAAATTTGAAGGATGATTAGTTTTAGTGATTGTACTGCGTTATGTCAGTATAGAGCATCAATTTTCTGGTTCAGTTTATTGAATTATTCCTCTCTCTATGTGTATTTGTCTCTCTGTCTGTCTCTGTGTGTGTAGGGGTAGGTAGGTAAGTAGGGATGGCTGTATGATTGTCAAAGTTTTTTATTTTTTTTTATGTATTTTTTATTTATTTATTTCTATCTTACAGTCAACATCCTTTTTTACTTACCCCCTACATATATATATATATATATATATATAATCTTTAATTTTTGTATTGATTACTAACCCTCCCGTGTTCTTATGTATGCACGAATCCACTCATGAATGAACTCGAACAATATATATATATATATATGTTTTTCTTTTTCCTTTTCTTTTCTTTCCTTTTTTCATCTGTATTATGTTAGAGTAGTACGCCTTTATTTATTTATTTGTTTTTTATTTATGGAAATGCGTCCGACAAAGCAGACTGAACTCTCGAGGGAGTGTGCTCGTATTGAAGCCTCGGGTTGGCTTACCTCATCTACTCTGAAGAAACCTAAACTCGCGTGGTACGCCATCGTTGTAGTATTTTTTTACCGATTGTTTCTCTGTGTTTATGTTGTGACAGCGGAATCACCGGATGAATGGTGGCAGAGTTCTGAGGTGGCGTACCGTATGGTTTTTGGTAAAGGACATCTTACATGGGAATGGCATTACGGTTTGCGTTCTGTTGTTTTCCCTGGATTTCTTGCCATTCCTTATTTTTTGCTTAAGCAACTGGGATTAGATACAGCTTGGATGATTTGGTTTGTGTCACGATTTCAGCAAGCATTAATATTAACAGGTATAGATCTCTGTGTTTTTAATCTAGGTGCCATTTTGGATGTGGTATTAATGAGATCAATATTGGAAAAGGAAGAAGAAAAAGAAAAGAATGAACCAGCTCCTTTTATTTTGTTGACATTAAAAGATGTAATGGAAACTAGAAGAATGTATGGATCTGTTTCTTCGTTTGCACTTTATCTTTCTTTGTGTAATTGGTATATGATATTTGCTGGTGTTCGGGTTTATAGCAATGTTCTTGAAGCTCTTCTGTTTTTGCTAACATTACAGCAACAGAATTATGTGCGTTTTTTGTTGCTTGCTGGATTAGCATCTGCATTTCGTGTAACAGCTTCTGTTGTTATTCTTCCACTCTTTTTTATGCATGTGGTTTGGGCATTACGTGGTCGAGGTATTATTAAGGGACTTGGATACATCCTTTTCTGGGGTTTATTTTTGTTGATTGTTATATTGGGTTCCCTCGTGATTAGCGATAGTTTATTCTATAAGGAGTTGACCATTACACCACTCAATTTTATTCGATTTAATGTAATTCAAAATGCGAGTCAACTATTTGGAAAGCAGCCGTGGTATTACTATTTCTTCCCATGTTTACCCTTACTTTTGGGACCACATATTATCTTTTTACTTTCCGTCCCTTGGGTGATTTTACGTCAAAGAGAATGTAAAATAGCTTTATGGGGTTTAATTGGCTTATTATGTGCTGTGATATGGACAATGTGTTGTTACTCCCTTATTGATCATAAAGAAAATCGCTTTATTTTCCCTGTACTCCCATTATGCTTTATTATCATCGCTGTTGTACTTTCACAATGGTACTATAAATACCGTGTGGTTCGCCTTCTTCATCGTAGTTTTATGCTACTAAACTTGTTAATGGCATTCTTCGTCTGTTGTATATATCGTCGAGGACCACTTGATGTTATGGAGGAAGTGCGTAAAGGTCCACTCTTACATCGTATGGATATTATTAGTACATGTTACACCACACCGGGTTATAGCTATATGCATGGGAAGGTGCGGCATCTTGGTATTATTGACTGCCCGGTACATCTTGACGAACAAACAGGACTTCCAGCCCTTACAGAAGATATTATGTTCCGTCGATACCCAAAAGAATATATTTTATGGAAATATGATGGAATTCAAAGTTTTAATAGGAGTAATAAAGATGAGAATAAAAAAGCGGATGAGTTGCAGCAAACTGTTAAACCAAAATCAGCATTATATCCAGATGTCATGGTGATGTTTAGATATACTGCTCAGATGATAAAAGAACCTTTTTTGCTTAGACACGGGTATAGACTTTACCGCTCGTTTTTTCATGCGCCATTTTCCTTGGAACCGTATGAAGATTCTTACATTGAGATGTGGGTTCGAAGGGAGGCCTAGAGCTTCTTTATGTAATTAATATATATAAAATAATAATAATAATAATGGGTGAATTGATTATGTTAAATTACCGTACCGATGTTGCCTGTGTGTGTGTGTGTGTGTGCTTCTTTTGTTTTTTGTTTTATTGTTTGTTTTCCGACTCTTTTGTAGTTAACTGTTCTAGAATTTTTTCTTTGTGGTACACACTCATCCCTTCTCTGGAAATTAGTGTGTTGACTCCACTTTGATATGAACTATGACTGTGTATGTGTGTGAATACTAGTTCGACAACGTATGCTCTTCTCTCTTTACTTTTATTCTTTTTACTGTTCCATACGCTCAGACGAAATATAAATAGAAACATATATATATACACGAAGAAAAAAAAAAAAAAGGAAAGGTAGAGTGAGTATATTCGCTGCTCACATATGCAGCAAGAGAAGAAGGAACGGGGTCCCTCTCCATTCTCTTCTTCGCCTGAGGCCGCTATTTCCTTTTATTTTCAACAAAAAGATGATGAACTCCTTTGTGCCTTTGGTCCGGACTTTTTCGACGGCGCTCGCAAAGGTGCTGCTGGTGGTGGTCTCTTTACCGCGTGGCTCACACGACGTACCTTTATTGATATCAAGGAAGATTATAGAGAGTATGAAGTGACACTTCCACAACATATGAGAGATAAGTGTTGGACACTCACGCGAGGATTTCGCACACGTCCTTTTTTTACGCTTGGTTGTGTCTCACTAGCACTGACTACATTAATGAAATCTATCAAGTTTTCTCTGGCTAATTATCGTTATCAGGAATTTGTTGAGGATGATATTGGATTTGAATTATTACAAAAAATGTACTCTAATACCCCTGGAGGTGATGAAGATTTTAAGAAATTTTTAAATGAATCATTAAAAAATCAAAACTCACCAGTAACATCTATTATTAATGATGTTGCTAATACCCCTAGTGTGGTTACTACTTCTACTTCTGCTTCTGGTGTTCTTAATAGTAAAAAAACAACCCTTACAGATGCACTTATAGAAGATGCTACAATCTCGCGTGAACAAAAACCACCTTCTTTTTGGGATGGTGTGGCAGTTGGCCTTATGGGTTCTGTCATGGATTGTTATTTGCCGTCAAAACCCATTTACAGTTACTATGGTATGCGATGTGGAATGAGGATCTGAAGTTTTTTTAATTTTATATCGTTGTTTTTTTTTATTTATTTTTTACTTTGTTTTTCATTGTAAATGAAGAAATATATTTTGACAATGTTGAGTGTTTTAAAAAAAAAAAAAAAAAGTTGAGGTTGTATATCTGTTATCTGTATTTTCTTTTTTTTTTCTCTTTTTTTTTATTTTTCTTTACTTTGGTATTTTTTTTTTTTTTTTTGATATATTTAACTGGGTGTGGGGGTGAGTGAAGGTACAAAAATAAAAACAATAACGAGATATAAATATATATAATAAACGGCGTTAATTTCTTTGCAATTATGGTCATTTACCTCATGGGACCCCCTCGAGCCAAAAATGGCTCCAACAAAAGTCGTGCAATTATTTCTGCAGTTCACCATGTGAAGTATTTTCCATGTGAAGAAGATTTAACACTTGAAGATTTTTGTCGTACTTCTCTGGCTGGTTCCATGTCAGAGAATTATACAAGCCAAAGCAGTGTTTTGTGTATACCTCTACGAAAACCAAGTTATCATGATGTGCTTGAGGAAGCTTTGACAGATGATCACCTCATAGAGATTCGACGACAGAAGGAACTTCTTCTGATGGCATACTCAACAGAGGTTGAGGAAATGGTAGATATGATGCAAGTATCACTGATAGGAAATGTTTCCACACGTTGTTTTGAAACCAGTAGCAGTCTGTCCCGCAGACCATCACCGTGGACAATACATGGAAAACACGGCACTCCTACTTTTCATCCTTTGTGCAGTTATATACATGATTCACCAGACCGAGTGTTACCGTCCCCTTGTCGTAGTGACCTTTTCTATGCTTTTGAAAAACGTCAGGAAAGAAATAATAGTTGTACGTATTCTCCGGGATCCAATAGTCTTTCTATTACTGCTGTTACTCCAGCTTCCGTTAGTAATAAATGCGTAATTAAAATCCAAACACCTCTTTCTCCATTACGTCTGTTAATATGGACCGAAATGGAGGTACGACATGCGCTGGAGTTGCAAGAGGAACGCCGTCGGGAGAAGTGCGCGGGAGAAGAAGTGGCGGAGTATCTCCGCATTCGCCGGGCGATGCGCAGCGAGGCGCACTTCCACTCATCGAAGTTCTCGTCGCTCGCGGAACTTCACCGAAAGGCGCGGGAATATTTTGAGGAGGACGTGGCGACACGCGAGCAGCGGGAGGCGGCGGAGCACCGCGCGTTTATGCGGCGCATTCCACTGGAGCGGCCGCTGCTGTTGAAACTCCCGTCCGTCACGAAGACTGGCCGGCCGTACAGGTGTACAGCTGTGGACTACGAAGTCGCCCGGGCTGTTGCGATGGAGGAGAAGGTATGGAATGCCTCTTATGAAGAGAAAAAGGAAAGGAGATTTTTCCCTCAATTACTGTAGGGTACACAAGAATACATGTATGTATGTATATATATATAATTTTTGTATACGGTAAGTACTTACCCTTGTTTTTTTTTTGTTTTTGTTTTATTCATTCATTTTTCTTTTTTTATTATATGTCTTTGGTCTCACGCCCTTCTTTCTTTAATGTTGTGTTTTGATGAAGTAAATGATTCTAAATATATATATTTATGTTTATATTAATATATTTATTTATATTAATATTGTATATATTTATATTAACATTATATATATATTTATATCGACATTATATATACATATATCGACATTATATATAGATATATATATACATGTATGTATCTTTTTTTTAATGATTCACTGTTTATGCATAACTGTGTCTATACACCCTTTCATTTTCTTCAAAGTGGGAGGTGTAAAGAAAGAAAAAAGGAGGATGAGATCTAAAGAGTAAATGAAGGCCTCGTTTTCTTTTTTCCTTCTGACACTTTTTTTCTGTGTTGTTTTGTTTTTGTTGCTCTTGGAATATGAACTGATACATTTTTTTTTTATATTAGAAATTCAAAGAAGAAAAAAAAGAGAGAGAGAGAAAGATAACAAAACCAGTCGTGCCCAATTTTGAAAACTGGAAAGTAGTTCACTCTGTTGCGGTTGTGGTGAAGCTATACAAACTATATTATGTCCAGTGTGTCAAATTAAAGTATATTGACTTTGATTCTCAATTTTATTTTATTTTCTTTTTTTCGTTTATTTCTCATAAAGGACTTACTTTGATTCATGTTAGCAAGCAGAACGAGGTAATATATCTTTTTAATAATAAGAATTATACGGTAATAGCACTCATGATTCAACTATTTCCTCTTCAGAATAAAAAGATGCTACGATTATCGCTACCTTTTATGTCTGTTGGAGTTTGCGAAGTGATGAACTGTGTGGAAAAGGATCTAATGAGTTCTTTTCTCGTACACAATACAAGAAACCGTGGGGCTTATTCTGAATTATCAGGAACTTCTAATTACAGCAATTGCAATAAGAATAAGAGTAACTCTGAATCAAGCCCTACTACTACTACTAGTTCTACTAGTACAAACTCTTTGGTAGTCCCATTCATGGGTGAAGTAGTTGCTGGTGGTCTGTGCGATAGTTTTACAGGTCATTACTGTCCACGTTTTATTTCACAATATCTCGCTCGGGCTCTTAGCATTCATTCTGTTCTCCCTAGTCATATCGCACAACTTCGTCGAGAAGTAAAGGATGATGCTATTATTGCCTTAATGATGTCTGCCTTATCACGTGAACGGGCATTACATGATGTGAAGGGATTAGGTGAAACTCAGCCGATTCGTAGACTTTTCTCAGAATGGGTAATGCATCAATATGCGATGTTTGCTGATAGTGCTTTCTTTGATGTCTGTCGGAAGGGTATTCTTCACACTGGAGAAGTTATGAGAAATGATAATCTTTTGGAAAGTGAAGCAGCCAATAGTGGTTCTCGTGCTGTTTGGTTTACAGCCTCTGTAGCACCATTTGAATTACAACAATGGCGTCAAAAGAATAAGGATGAGGTACATCATAGAAGTTATGCGCCCCCTCCTCCTCCTCAGCCTCCTCAGCCTCCTCAGCGATTTCTTGAAATGAGAAAAGATTCATCTGATAATACCGTAGGGAATATAAGCGATTCGTTTCCTTCTTTTGCTATTGATGTATTATTGAGTAATGTTGGGGATTCACGTGCCTTTGGAATTGCACGACACTCACTCTCTGAAGGGATACGTAGTTCACTTGATCCATCTCGTGAACGAATTGTTCCTCTAAGCACAGATCATAAACCTCTTCGGACTCAAGAGTTTCGGCGTATATTACGTGCTGGAGGAGTCGTACGCTCTGATGTTGGTGATATTATCGATGGGAATCCCTTTTATAATGTTTCACGAAGTTTTGGACATTGGTCAATGAAATGTGATATGAAAAGATCACCTAGTGAACAGAAACTCATTGCTCTCCCATCTTGTAGTTCATGGGAAATGTTACCTGGTGATGTACTTGTTCTTTGTAATCATGGTATGTTTGAAACCCGTTCTCAACAAGACACTTCAATGGATGAACTTGCTAAAGTTGTGGGACGTGAACTACGGCGAGGTAGTTCACCTGAACAAATTGCAGCTGCACTTTGCGATCATGCTATTCGTTTTGGTGCCCAACATTCACTACAAGCAATGGTCGCAGTAGCCACAGATACGAATGCCAGCAGTAGTGAAGTAGAGCGGGAGGAGTGGGTGGAGCCAGGTCCTTTCTATGTGGAACCCTTTCGCCAATCTTCAGCGTACCGCAATGCACTTTGTGTGGATTGCGATCGCTGCGGTGTAACTTTAGCGGAGTTGTTGGAATTGCGCTGGCAACGCGTGCGGGAATTTCTCCCAACTCGATATGCACTTCCACTGATGCCTTACTATGGGAAAGAATGCTCCACACTTCAACAAATTATGGATGAAGAAGCACTACTCTTCAATCACGAATCTCTACCTCCTCTGGGGGAAAGTATTGAAAAAATGACAAGTGAGGAGAAACGACGTGTTAAAGAAACCTTTGTACGAATGTCAAGGTCTCTCTTATCGTCAACTCCTCCGTTATCGATATAGAGTTATAAAGGTATGATCAGGAAAAACACACACAGACACATGGAAAGAAATTCAAAAGATGGAAGGAAAGTAAAAATCTGGTGACTTTGAGATGGTAGTAACTATTGTTCTGAACATTTTTTTTTTTTTTCATTCTTTCTTTGTGATGACTTTAGGTATCCTGAATTGTCAGTATATGTTGTGTATTTGTTTTTCTTTTTCCTCTATTTGGTGAGTTTTGTTGTTGTTGTAAGTGAACTGATGTTATAGGAATACCTAAAAATAAAATAAAGGTATATTGTATATTTGAGCAGCAGCAGCAGAAGCAGCAGTAGCAAAAATATCCTAAGTGTGTATTGTGCTTTACAATAGGTCCCTTGATAAGTGTTGTTTGTTTACTTTAGTAATTATCATGAAGACTAATGGTCTTTTAGAAAACAGAGCCCTTTTACAAGTACTTACTCATGCAGAAAACACAAGTCGTACCCCTATCGACATTTTAAAGGGAGCTGTTGCAGGGGGAGTTGTTGTTTCATTTATTGATGAAAAAAATCGTTACCCGGACACTGTACTTATGCCATCGTCTTCTGATCTTGCCACTCTAGCGATACTTATAACAGAAGGACTTTTTGTTCCTTCCCTTCACCGTGTTGTGGGGGATCAACTCTCACGGTATACGGTTGTTGGGGAATCTGGATGTTTTGAATCTTTAGCAATTCCAGTTCTTCTTTTTCCAGACTGTTTTGCAGTTCCCTCTGCATGCGAGTCAACACCTCAGAGCACACCCTCACGTCCTCTGCTCTCCCCAGGTACAGTTACAGCTACAGGCGTAACAAATACATCTTTAGATTCACATTCTTCACAAACTGGAGTATCGGCTGCTTCGGTAGATATTTACCAGTTACATAAACTGCGCTCTAATGTGGGAATTTTACTTTTAAAGAGTGTAAATGAAGTTTTACAAGATGCAGAGGTATGGAAATTAAAAGCTTCTAGAACCAAAAACACAACAGGAAAAGATACATCTACTGAAGTGGCAGCTATGAACGCTGTTATAGCACTATTTTATGAAATTAAAATACTTCTGCTTTGTTGTATTTTAAGTTCTGATAGAGCTTATAAAGAAGAAAATAATGATGAGAATGATTTTACTTTAGCAAGTAGTTGTTTTAGTGAATTATTTCCCCCAGATGAATTGTTCAGGATCTTTGAACATGAGAGCCGACCGTCTGCAGATGATGTGGTAAAGTGGTATGATGTTATGCTAAAGAATATTACTAACAGTGCACAGACATTGACGAATGCTAAATTACAAAATCTTGTTATGGAATTACAGCAAGAAACTGTGGCAGATGGTGTTCGCGTAAATGGTTTACCCATTCAATTACTTCATCGTCCACATGATACGACAAGCTCAACTTTTTTTCAAATTTCTCTTCCTCATATTGAGCTTCCACATCTGGAAACGCAACCAGGTGAGATGGTTTATCTTTTTGGTGATCCAGGTGAACAACCTCTGTTATTTGATACAAATCCATCAAAGATTTTTTTTCTCTTGCGCCGCTCTGCTACTACGAAATTGACATCCATGCAAATACGAGATGTTGATAAAATGTTCGCAAGTGCTCCATGGCAAAATCTTCGTGATGTATTGGTGCAAACCATGGCTTACTACCTTTCTGATGATCAATTTATATGCTCTGTACTGGAGAAGAATAGTTCACTTATGGTCAAATTGATCCAATGGTTGCATAAAGATGTATCAGAAGCTGATAAAGAGGAAAACAATAAGAATGAAACGAGTGAAGAAAGAGAAGAGAAGGAAAAGAATTTGGATGAAAGAAAGAAAATGGGTCTATTAATGACAGCCAACATTATGAATGCTGCTGTTCATATTGCACCATTTAGTGCAGGAGTTGCACAATTTATGCGAGAGATGTTGGACTGCGGTTTACTCACTGCAGATCATTTAAACCCATGGGTAAAGCACTCTGTAGCAGATTTAGAAGGCAAATCATCTGCCACTGTTGGATTATTTGCAATTATTGTAACATTCGCGCTCATACACCGAGGTTGGGAGCTTGAAGAAAATGCTCGTGAAGAAACCATCAAATTATGTACTCAACATCGGCAACAACAAAACTGTCTTACATTACTGAATCTATTACGCCGCTAATATCTGTAAAACTTTGATCATCTGTTCCTACCGATACAAGTGCAAAAAAGAATTAAAAGAAAACATCGTAATCATCAATAACAGTAGTAGTTTGAAAATGGATTTTTTTTTTTTACGAAGAAAAAGAGAAATAAACTACTTGGGCGACTGCACTGCTTCACACATTCTGTCGTGGTGTGTTTCAATACCGCTTATCTACCTTTATTCTAGCAATTTACATATTCTTTCTTTTTTGTTATTACTTTTCGCTTCAATCAATTTCTTTATTGTATGCAACTTAAAGTGTACAACAGAAGGGGTTAAGATGTAATTAGACGAGAAAAGTATTTTTGCACTCGAATAAAAATATATAATATTTTATTTTTTTTTTTGATTCTCAACTATTACTACTACTAATATTACTAATAATAATACTACTGACTGATCTCCAATTTTCTTCACAAATTATTTTACCTACTTTTCTTTTTTTATCTAAACATCGTGAATACTAACTACGTCCAAAGGAAAAAAAAGGGTGAAACATGCGCAACTACAACAACTTCAACCGCGTCTGGAAGGCCCCCCGCCGCCCGTTCGAGAAGGAACGCCTCGACCGTGAGATGAAGCTCTGCGGACAGTACGGTCTCCGCTGCAAGCGTGAGATCTGGCGCGTGAACATGACCCTCTCCAAGATGCGCCGTACCGCCCGTCTGCTGCTCACACTGCCGGAGAACCACCCACGCCGTCTGCTTGAGGGTTCCGCTATTATGCGCCGCTGCCACGAGTATGGATTCCTCGACGAGGAGAAGGACAAGCTCGATTACGTGCTGTCCCTCACCGTCCCCGATATTCTCGAGCGCCGTCTGCAGACTGTTGTGTTCAAGCATGGACTCGCCAAGTCTGTTCACCACGCCCGTGTCCTCATTCAGCAGCGCCACATTGCCGTCGCCAAGCAGATCGTCACCATTCCTTCCTTCATTGTGCGTGTGAGCTCTGAGCACCACATTGCATTTGCGGATGCCTCACCCTTCGGTAATGGCCGCTGGGGACGTGTGAAGCGTGTGAAGGCGAAGGCCGCAAAGAAGGCAAAGTCCGGCGGTGACGACGACGAATAAGGTACGCATATTCACCTGATCCAAACTTCATTTACCTGATTTTTTCTCATTAAAAAAAAAAAAAAAACCATTTATTTATGAACCAAGGAATTTATACTTTTTAAAAAAATTATAAATCAATACTCCTCACCTACGGTTTCACTTTTTGTATGCCATTTCTTTCTTTCTTTCTTTTGTTTGTTTGTGCTCTATGGTGGAATATAAATATAAAGAAAAAAAAAAAACTCTTTCGCCTCATAAGCACTTATTTTAATAATTCAAAAATAATAAGCAAAATGCCCCGTCGTGTGGAAGTTCTGCAAACACAATTGCCTTCTTACAACCGCCTGAAGACACCCTATGAGGCGGAGCTCATCGCAACCGCCAAGAAAATGACGGCCCCCGGAAAGGGTCTTCTTGCCGCCGATGAGTCTATTGGCTCGTGCGCGAAGCGCTTCGCACCCATTGGTCTATCCAACACAGAGGAACACCGCCGCCAGTACCGTGCTCTGATGCTTGAGTGCGAGGGCATGGAGAAGTACATCAGTGGTGTCATTCTGCACGATGAGACAGTGTACCAGAAGGCCACCACAGGAGAGACGTTTCCGGCGTTTCTGCGGAGCAAGGGAGTGGTGCCCGGCATCAAGACTGACATGGGTCTCAACCCTCTTGTGGAGGGTGCCGAGGGTGAGCAGATGACGGAGGGTCTTGACGGTTATGTGAAACGCGCTCGCAAGTACTACTCAATGGGATGCCGCTTCTGCAAGTGGCGTAATGTGTACAAGATTCAGAACGGCACTGTGTCAGAGGCTGCTGTGCGCTTCAACGCGGAGACACTCGCCCGCTACGCCATTCTCTCACAGCTGAGCGGCCTTGTCCCCATTGTGGAGCCTGAAGTGATGATCGACGGTGTGCACGACATCGAGACGTGCCAGCGCGTCTCGCAGCACGTGTGGTCGGAAGTGGTCTCTGCCCTGCACCGCCACGGTGTGATATGGGAGGGATGCCTGCTGAAGCCCAACATGGTGGTGCCCGGTGCAGAGTCCGGACACAAGGCGACACCTGAGCAGGTGGCACAATACACCGTGACAACACTCGCACGTGTGCTGCCACCCGCACTTCCCGGTGTGACCTTCCTCTCAGGAGGCCTCAGCGAGGTTCAGGCCTCAGAGTACCTTAACGCAATGAACCAGTGCAACCTGCCGCGTCCGTGGAAGCTGACCTTCTCGTACGCCCGTGCTCTGCAGTCCAGCGCACTCAAGGCATGGGGTGGCAAGGACTCCGGCGTTGCTGCCGGTCGCCGTGCCTTCATGCACCGCGCCAAGATGAACTCACTTGCCCAGCTTGGTCGCTACAACCGTGCCGAAGATGACAAGGACTCACAGTCACTCTACGTTGCAGGCAACACCTATTGATTGGATTACTGTTTTTTTTTTTTTGAGTCTGCAAATATGAAAAGGATTTGTTATAAAATCATTTATAATATTTGCGTTTTTCTTTTTTTGTGTGTGTGTCTTCATGTTTGTCGTGGTGGTTTGATTTTTTTTTTTTGGATTCAAATGTTTTGTTTATTGTTTCGTTTGTGTGTGTTTTAGTTTTATTTATTTTTCTCTACTTTTCTTTTATTTTTTGTTCTTTGTAGCTTATATGGCGGAATCACCGGAAGAGCGACCTCTTGTGTTGACTGAGGAGGAGTTGCAGAGGCATGTAAATAGGCTTACACAGCGTCCTGCACCACAACCTATTCATGATCCGTTTCCCGTCTGTCCTGCTCCGAAGTTATCACAAGCAGAGATTGATCGTATTGTTGAGCGTGTTTATTATGAATATGTGAAGCGCCATGAAGCTGCTTTACGTGATGCAGAAGAAAGACGTGAGAAAGAGTACGGTCTTGTGAGCACAGTCCTACCTAGTGAAGAGGTAGAAGCTGGAGTGAAACGTTGGTACTATGAGGCTTTGGAGAGGCGCGAAGCTTCACGTAAAGATGCAGAGGAGCGTTTATTATTTAAATCTAAAGCCAACGTTCCAACTATCCCTCTTAAGAGATTTGTAGAAGATATGTATGCCAAAGGTATGCAGCGACAGAAAGACAAGGAGCAATTATTATATGAAAAATATATTGTTGCAACTGAGATAAAGACCACTCGAATTTCGCGTAGTGAAGCTGAAGCAAGTGCTACGCGTTTATCAAGTAAAGGAGGCGCATAAAGGATGTACCTTCTGATAGTTTAGTGGTTTTGCTTTTTGAGACTGTGCTCTTTGTTTTTATTCTGTTTTTGTTTTGTTTTTAATTTGCTTAACGTGTCTACATATCATGTTTTTCACGTTTCTGCAAGCATGTATGGATGTATGTATCTATTATACCGAAAGTATTCCATGTAGAAGGCTATTAATATATATATATATACACTTTTGTATGTATGTGTTACATTATTTTGTTTTTGTAGAGGTTTTTTTGGGTATATACTTCTGTGATTCCTCATTTTGTCTATTTTTATCTTGTAATCTGATGGTTTTTTATTATTATTATTTCTACGTATCTCTTTTTTTTTCTCCCTACTCATGCGTTGTTTTTGTGATTAATAGTGCAAATAAGGGAAAGTATCATGGAAGATGATGCAGAGGCATACCTTAAGCTTGCATCTAAACTTCAGCGGAAGCACTTTGCCCGAGGACATTCGTCCGTTACACAATCTCGACCAGCTAATGGAAAGCAGGGGAAGGGAATAGATATCTCTGCACATTCTGCCTCACGGCTGCCAATGAAGAAACGAAAGCGCACAGACGACGATGATGATGATAATAATAATAACAATAATGATCAGAGTATTGGGAACAGTACTGTTGTATTGGTTAATTCCCCCGCACACCCAACAACTGCCATTGGTTCCTTATTGAACTCAGATTCTATGGAAGGTGCACCACGTAAGCAGACTAAGATGACACTAATGGAGAAATGGTTTCCTGGAAGCACATTAAGTAACGCAACTCTTGATGCAGCTCAGGCACCAACTTTTAATTATATTGATCTTTCAGTTGCCCGAATGAATGCCGCACGTGAGCGAATTCTTTTTCTACGTGCTGGAGTGGAAGATATATTGAGTTACGCACATGCAAAGGATGCTATAGATATTCCAAGTAATAAAATAGATTGGTGTTGGCCAGAACTTCGAGACGCATTATCACAACTAACCTCACAAGATGCGTTTCATACAAAAAAACGTGTTGTACATGCCTTAAAATGGCTGTTGACAAGTAAACCAAAAGCAGACGTTCCAAAAACACCAAATCTTCGGCTTTGGTATAACTATTTGAGTCATAGTGGCCCAGAACAAGGTTGTGAACCACCTTTGGGTTTACTGGTCTGGTTAGATAGTGCATCTACCTCTACTCTTTTCACTGCCTTGGTAAACCGTATGTTAAGAGAATTTAAACGAGGAGTAAAACCAAGAGTGTATTCCTGGTATGATGCACAGGAAGATCAGTTGGGTGAGAAGGACGAAGATCACGAGGAAGAGGAAGCAGATGATGATAATGATAATGATGATAATGCACAAACTGATTTGGAAGAAAATAAAGAAGAAACAGAGGATGGTTCTGAAATAGAAAAAAAAAGAAAAGAAATGACAGATACCCCTCTACCTAGCCTTATTGATCGTCTACCACCTTTGAAATGTAATGACACTAGCGAAGAAGTTATTTCTCTTCTCACATTTCTGCGACTACTCATGCCTGTTGATATAGAAGACGAATCTGGTAATATTGTTGGTTACTCCACAGGGTATGGTGTATGGTTATACGCCTGTTTAACAGCTGTGGATACACCACTTGATCCGGATTTGGATCGACTCGTACATGAGTTGTTTCGTGATTGTTGTCGTCAACTTCGAACGTTGTGTGAATCGCAGAATATTCGCGGTGATAATCGTGGGGCCATTGTGCAGGCTCTTTCTCCACGCAGTACAGATGCATCTTCGCATCGACGGTATAATACAATACACGATGTGAGAAGGGAAGATGTATTGGCGCTTCATACCATTATTGTTGTCCTCGCAAAACTCTTTCGACAGAATCAAAATCGACTCATTCCTCTTTAGCAGTTTAAGAAGAAATAATGTAAAAAGTGGGTGAGATGAAAAAGTATAAGAGGAAGAGAGGAAAGGGGAGGAAAAGAAAAGAAAAAAAAAAGAAACGAAATAACATTAGTGTTTATTACACATAATTCAAAAACTGTTGTATTCCCAAAAAAAAAAAAAACTTTGTAATTTGGCTGTTTAAATATTTGTATGTTTTTTGATTTTTCTTTATTTTGCACGTTTTCTCTTCTTTTTTTTTCTTCTTTATTATTATTATTTCTATTGGTCTTGTATATGTATGTGTGGTCCTCACTCTCTCTCTCTATTTCCCGTTCTTGTATTCAGCTTCAGAACCTTCTGAGAGGTGGTTGATTACGATGTACACTCTTCTTGTGTGTGCTGATCTTTATGGGGAAAAGTGTAATTTGGAGTTAAATTTCGCATCTATGCCGACACTTGCGGAATTGCAGCGAAAGATTCTGTTAGTTTTTTCAGCGGAGTCAAATTTAAGGCATTCACAGGGAGGACTCCCTACGGTAGATTTCACTATTGCTCGAATTCAGATTTACGATGATGTTCTCTTAAAGTGGGTGGATTTAATTTCCCCTACACAACTACATGAGTATGATCAACTGTACGTTTTCCAGCCCCAAACATCATGGCATACGGATGTACAGAAAGATCTTCCACCGCCGTGCCCACCATCGCAGAGTCGTGCCGCATCTGCAGTGCAATCTATGGTAAATTCCCCTCATAAAGGTATGGGATATGTACAACAAGTAAATTCCTATCGACATGATAATTCTGCTGGATCAATAAACAGTAGTATGGCAACATCACCTACAAAGATGCGTCTGGAAGAGCAGAAACGGCGTGAACGTGCACTTCAGGAGGAATTGGCACGTGTTCATGAAGAGTCTGAGCGACTGGAGCGTGAGGCTGCTATGGAAGAAGAACAAATGCGTGCTCGTGAACAGGAGCAGATGACCCGAATTCTACGTCAAAAAGAAGAAGAAGTTCGTCGTCAACGTGAGTCATTAATGCGTTCAGAAGAGGAGTTCCGTCGTCTTCAGGCTGAGAAACGCAGTTTCACTTTTACTAACAGTTTTTAGAGTAGTGCAGTAATGGAGGTAATAGAGAATGTGGTCAATACAAATAGGAGATTTTTAATCCTGAAACCATTTGTTTAAAGCCATTTAACCATTCTTTATTTGTTAGTATGATTAGAGTTTGTGTCTGTGTGTGTGTATATGTATTTGTGTATATGTGTGTGTGTTTGTTTGTTTCTTTGTTTGTTTGTTTGTTTCATTGTTTTTTATTATTATTTTTCTTCGTTATAATGTGTTGTTCGCAATATTGAAGGATGGTTCAATGTACCATCTTCTTATTCCAGTGATTTCACTACATATGCGAATTTATTTCTTTTTGTACACGGACTTTTTTGTATTCACTTTATTTTTCTCTTTCTTCTCCCCCTTTCTTTGGGGTTTGCATTGCGACCTATTTGGTAGTATTTATATTGGCAATATAGTTTCCTGATATAAGGATTGATCTATATTTATATATTTATATATCTTTTTTTTTCTTTTGATTTTCTGTGGGCTTGTGTATCTTTCTTAGTAGAAGTGTGAAGGGGATTTCTTGCGTTCGACAGTGATCTGAAAACAAATTTATTCCCGTGTATCAACAAAATTAGTGAGTGGATTATTATTATTATTATTATTATTATTATTATTATTATTATTATTATTATTAAGAAGACTGTATATATATATTTCTAGGTGAGTGTTAGAAAAGAAAAAAAAACGAATATATATATATATATATATATATATATATAAAGAAATTATCGTTATTTATAGTATTATCAAAATATGCGTACATCATCGCAACGTCGACCGAAATCTCCTGCGGCTTCTGTTCGTGCGCAGTTGCGTACCCGTACACCTGACATTCCACCGTGGGATAACTCTGTTCACGCAAAACAACGTAGAGCCACATCGACGACACGAATACCATCAAGGACAACAAACATGTTAAGTAATAGCAAGAAGAATAATAATCACAATAATGATGTGTATCGGCAGTATGAAGGGGCAAGTCTATCATTACAGCGAACACCCGAACACACCTCGTATGAAAATATGATGTCTACACCAGCAGCGGCACTCGCAGCCAACGCCCCTCCTTCCGTCGGTGGATTTCAGGTTGAACTCTTAACACAATTGCAAGATGTCGTGGTTCGTTTATCGCAAAGTGCAGTGGGAGAAAAGCAACGACTCTCACATATGCAACAACGTCTGGATGCCTATGCTGCATTAGTGCGAGAGCAAGATCATATGATTGATGAATTACGGGGAATGAATATAAAATTACAAAAAGAAAAAGATACACTTATTGCATTTCGACAACAAAGTCTTAATCATGATTTTCATGTTATGAATCATTTAGAAAATGATGGTGGAATTGATGAAGAAGTATGTCGAGCATTTGCTCAACATGAGGGTAGACAATCCTCTTATGGAATGTCATTTAATAATTCTCTTGGAACTATGACTCCTCAAGTACGTAGTTTTGTACGATCTTTAGTAGCGCAACTTCGAGATGAGAGGCGTAAACGATTAGAAGTTGAAGAACAGAGTAGTCGAATGATTGGAGAACAACAACTTACAATACAAAGACTAGAGGATCGTTTAAGACCACAGACTACTTCTCTTACACGAAATAGTGTATTTGGACGAGTAGAAGGTACACAAACTTCTTGTAAAAATGGAATATCTACTGAAGTATCAGATTTAATCAATAAAGATCATCATCATCCTCATTTTCCAATAGATAGATATCGTAGTCCCTCAAGAATTATAACTACAACTCTGGTAAATACGGCATCTGAAGATGCTATTGCTGTATCATCAAATCCAGTATCAGCATCCGTACGCACATCAACCACAATACATGATATTCATAAAGATGAAATGGCAGAACAAGCAACATTGACAGCTTCTCCTGTTCAACCCATTTCATTTCCTCATTCTAGACAAGAAGTTCATGTTTCTACAACTCCTCTTTTGTCATCTGTTAGGAGTGATGTGCGGCAAGAAGAACGGGAGGTAGAGGTTCCCTTGGCTATACATGGTACAACGTACGAGGATGCTGAGTCTATTCTTTCTAATATACGAAGAAGACACGGCCTGTGAATCATATTGTAATGTTTCTCTCCTCTCTGGTTTCTATTTGTTTTTTTTTTCATCTATTTATTATTATTATTAATGTCCACGTTTGCTTATATATTTTTTTTACTTTTGGTTTTGATTATATTGTGTTATAATAAATAAATATATATATATATATATATATATATATATATATATATATAGAGAGAGAGAGAGAGAGAGAGAGAGAGAGAGAGAAGGAGATTGAAAAATAAAAAAAAACATGTAGTGGATAATTGGTATTCTTTTTTATTATGTTCTTTCTTTTTTGTTTTATAATTTAAAAAGTATGCTTGTGTAGAGGTGATAGCGATGCAAAGTCTAGCAAAACATCTTTTTAGGTCTCAGTACCATTCAACTTCTCTCTTATTAAGAGGTGGATCTTCTTTTGGGTTACATGGTGCTCTTTTCAGTAATCATCGTTTCTGTGCTACAACAACAACAATGGAACGACTAGTAATTAATGCCTCTAACTGGAATGACAGTAATTATTACCATCGTCTTGGTTTTCACGAGGAGGTCCGAGATATTCACAGGATTAAAGAACACTACCGAATTTTGGCTAAACACTTTCACCCTGATAACCCAAACGCTCCTAAAGATGCAACTGTTGCCTTTCAAAATATAAAAGAAGCTTATGAACATATTTTAGCTAACGCTAAAGAAAAAACAGAAGGTAATACTAATACAGAATTTTCTGCAGGATTTCGTTTCTCCGATCAGGAGAGACGAAAACAGCAAATGCGTTTCTTAGGTGATGGTGTCCCTCTTTTTATGGTGATGACCATTATATTTATCTTTATTGTATCTCGGCATAATAAAGAACGCTTGCAGGCTCGTTATTTATGGCACTTGGTACTTATTTTTTTCACTATTCAATTATTTCCAAGGCTTTTGGCAGCGGCTATTCTTTTCGCATGCCATACAAATTATCTGGTGAAATTGGAAGAATTCAAAGAGCAGGCAGCCACCTCTGTGGTGGTGGAAAAGGGAAAAAATCATCTCTTAATAACATTGGAAGGAATAGCTGAAGAATTAAAAGATAATATTATAGTACAGGTAACAACAACAGTTCCGGTAAAACAACAATCCCAAGGTGTTCCTATTGCAGTAAGAAAAGAAACCAATAATGATTCAATAGGAGAAGCATCTGTGTCCACTACACTCACCTTTGACGCTGGTGTATTCACCGTGTCTGTTCCTTCCCCATCGGAGGGAAAAGCAGAATACCGTATTAAGGCGGTAGATGAAAAGAGGGGATTTGTGGTAGCTGACCACACTTTGCAGATTTAATATCCTTGTACTAACCCTTACTTTTTTCATTATTCACAGAAATAAAGAAAGAAACTCGCATGCGTTCATTTCTGTTATTACGCTTGCTGCTAATTAAAAAGGAGAATACCTCCATTTTTATTTGTTTTTTATTTTGTTTACTTTACCTATGGGATGCCTTTTTTTATTTTTTATTTTCTTTGATGGATGTTTGTATAATAGGTATTTCTTTTTATATACTTCTTATTTCCTCTTTATTTGTTTATTATTAATTATTATTAAAAAAAAAACCTTTGGGAAGAAGGGGGAGCACTGTAGGTGTAACCGTCTAAAAAATAAAAATAAAAGAGAGAATTTTTTAGTTAAAGAAAAAGAAAACCTTGATAAATACACATATATATATACATTTATAGATAGATAGGTATCTATATCTATAAGTTTATATATATATTTTTATCAGGAAAAAAAAAAGGTGGAGTCGGATCAATAATTTTTTTTTTCATTTATTGATTTTTTAACAAAAACAGAAACTGAATCTCACTTTTTCTAGAAAAGGCAAAGGAGTATATCATCATCTTCATCACCATGTCGACAGCTCTTCCTCCCGCGCAGCAGAAGCTTTTCGAAAGACTTGGTCGTGAGTTTGATTCCCGAGAATATAATAAAGCGATACGCACTGCTGATGGTATACTGGCCCTTGTCCCTGAGCACGCCGACACTATTGCCATGAAGGGTCTTACATTACACAATCTTGAGCGCAAAGAAGAGGGACATACATTAATTAAAAAGGCTATTGCACTTCATCCTGATTCTCCTATTGCATGGCACTCTCTTGGAATGTGTTATCGATCTGAAAAGAATTATGTGGAGGCAATGAAAGCTTTTAAGCATGCATTTTCGATGGATCCATCTAATACGAATATACTGCGTGATATTTCACCCCTTTGTGTTCAGGTTCGAGATTGGGAACAATTTGTGGATACAAGACGCAAAATGATTGCGTTAAAACCTGGTGTTCGTGCTAACTGGATCGCATTATCTTCTGGATATCGTATGATGGGACACACAAAGGTTGCGGTTGCTTTAATATATAGTATGTTGACCTTCATGGATGCTGGAGATAATACAGTTGAAAAGAGTGAGGTGTATCTTTACTGCGTGGAACTGGAACTTGCCAATAATGCACCTTCGAAAGCACTTCAACTTTTAAAAACACATAATGCAGAAATTGTTGACGAGTATGAGAAAACCTTTTTACGAGCAAAGGCGCATGCACTTCTTGGTCAAAAATCAGAAGCTGAAAAGCGATACATGGATCTTATCGCTCAAGGAGTAGCAGAAGGAGATTGTATCGCAGCTATTGCCCATCTACGTAAAATTCCACTCGATAATAATCGACGACCTTTACGTGAAAAGGCAAAGTATCTGGAAATTTTACAACAAGTTATGGATATCTGCCCTAAATGTGATTATGCCAGACGCAGTGCACTTGATTATGTACCACTTGAAGAATTTAAAGACCGACTTCGTGAATATGCTTCTCGGTTTATTATTAAAATGATTCCATCACTTTTCAGTGTATTAAAATCCTTGTATCTGGATACTGAGCGATCTCAACTGGTTGGTGAAGTATTTTTGGAATGGGAAAAAGAAATTCAAGAAAATAATTTTTCAAGTTTTGGTGGGAAATCAAATCCATGTTATATTTTATGGATATGGATGTATTTGGCGACTCATTTTTGCAGATTACTTGATTTTGAAGTGGCGTTAAGTTATATTAATCGCGCTATTGAGCATACTCCTACTGTGGAATTATTGTACTTAATAAAGGCAAAGATTCAGGCTCGTAGTGGACATTTGGATGAAGCTGCTATGAGCGCCGATATGGCACGTCGACTTGATTTACAGGATAAATATCTTAATGGAAAAGCGGCTAAGTATTTTTTCCGGGCGAATCGAATTGAAGAAGCAGAAGAACGTATGCAAATGTTTTACAAAGCAAGTACTGTTCAAGGTGATACATATTTGACGGCATTAGAGTCACAGTGTGCATGGTATGAGCGAGAAATTGGTGATGCCTTTTTCCGAAAAGGTGACTACATTTCTGCTTTGTCAAATTATCTTATGTACGAACTTCATCATAAACGTAATCACCTGGAATTGTTGGAATTTCATAACTACGTTTTCAGGCGATGTACCATGAGAGCTTGGTTTGATGTTTTGGCTCGTGATGATGATCTTGATGGAAACAAGTTTTTCCTTAAACTTTGCCCACGTATTGTTCGAACCTATATGAAAATATTTGAAGAGGGTGAAGAAGCCGTAAATAAGAAACATGTTCCTCGACCAGAACTTGAAAAGTGTTCAGATGCAGAAGAGAATAAACGTCTGGCACAGTTACGTCAGGAATATTATTTAGATAAAATTGACCTTTCTGAACCACTCAAGAAAGCAGAACGATATCTTTTACCTTATCTTTCACATAATGCAAACTCGACAGAAGCGCATTTGTTGGCCTTTGAGTTTTTCACAATGACACGGAGGCCGCTCCTAGTAGCACGTGAACTGTTGGCTTTAGCGAAGCTAAAGGAAACAAGTACGGAAGATCTCATTTCACAATTTGAACAGAAATTCTTATCTGAAACAGCGCAAAATATGGATACACGCGTGAAGGAAATAATCGATGAGACTTTAAACACTGCCAGAGCGAAGCTTAAAGAGGAATGAGTTTTTTTTTTTTTTTTTCATGGAGGGTAAGAAGAAGAGAAAAACGATGATTCTGTATACCTCCCAAAAAGAAAAAAAAACCGGTATTTCATTAATAAAAAAAAAAAAAAAAAAAAAAGCCTTACGTTGCGGTGATTCATTACGGTTTCAATGCCCCGTACCTTCTTTGCCGACGTGAAAACCAGGAACCAAGATCATTATCCCCAGAAATAAATATCAAATTAGATGGATATGGTATTAGATGAATACTCAACATCTCTTCCCTTTAGCCAGGAACCATACACAAACAAAAGAAACAAAACACCCCCCCTTTTAAACAAAAAAAATAAAAATGAACAGGTGACGCGATACCATCATTAGTTAACAACAGCAATCGTGGTCCAACGGCTAAGATTTCCGCCTTCCAAGCGGAAGACCCGGGTTCGACTCCCGGCGATTGCATCTTTTTCCCTGGTGGTTAACTCAAAAATATCGTCATTGTATTTGTTTCAGAAAAAAAAAATATATATATATTAAATTAAAGGTTCCACCTAATAGTGAAAAACAAAAAAAAAGTAAGAACTCTGGTTGTGATTCTCATTAACGGTACATGTGCCACCAATGCAAAAAAAAATACGAACATGTTCTGCCACCCACAGAGACTCCTCGGTGTACATCTGATCCCTTCGCCGTTAGGAGGTGCGAACATTTTTCATGGGGTATAAAGTGAATACTGAAAAAGAAGATTCTCTGTTTACGAAACCAAAAAAAAATATTTCTAAACTGTTTCCGTTTAATTTGATTTTATGACTTTTAACAACGAAATAAGTATCAACAGCCTTCCTAGCTCAGCGGTAGAGCGCACGGCTTTTAACCGTGTGGTCGTGGGTTCGATCCCCACGGATGGCGTTTTTTCGTTTTTTATTCCTCCCCATAAGATTCAATTCCCATAATTCATGGGGTATATATAGAGTGTATACTGAACCAGATGACTGTCCGTTTGCGAAACCAGAACATGTCTACACATCTAATGGTATGCTTTCCGCTCTCTGTACCCTTACGGTGAACAATACTATTCCTGGGTCAGTGACGGGCAATGACTCGTGGTGCCTCGATGGGGATTCGCTCAAGGTGAAGGTGAAGGGAAGTGCCAATAAGGTTGTGGGAGGCGTGTGTGCACGGGTGTCATGTGATGAGGGTAAAGTGAAAGTAATGTACGCTGGCAACGACACATGGCACGACTGCCCCGAGGGAGGTTCACTAGAACCATCGACAAATTCGTCGATATTTGCAGGTGGCAGTATCAAGTGCCCCAAGTACAGTGAGGTGTGCACCATGACACCAGATGGTGGCAGTCGTCTGATCCCCAAAACTTCTGAGCGAAGGCAACGATTAACAACCAATTCCACCCGCGCAAGAGGTGGATCACGGAGACGATCGGGGGCTGGCACGCGGCAGTCCAGTGTAATGGTCTCCAAGAATCGTACAACAAGGGGGCGCACTGATGTTGCCGCGAACTGAGGTGAAGAGAAAAAATCCTCTTACCGCTGGTTCGACCCTGAGAAGGAAGACGCATACTGCAAGTGTTGCTACTGCATCAACACCTGTGTGTTTGATTTGGCTTGTGGAAGCGTTGCCCTTGTACCGATACAGAATGTGCGTGTAAGAGTCGTGTCGGTGCGCATATTATACTCGTGGAACAAATTTGAAGGGCATCTCAGTGTCTCCATATTCCCCCCGACATCCAGTTACGAAGGATGTGGTGATACCAAGTGACGTGACCCAATTTGTTACAAATGCGTTTTGGGCTGAATAACGCATGATAATACATTCGTATTCATTGTGCCTTTTTTTTTCTCCGAGGAAAAAAGCAATCATCCTTTTTTCTTTCGTGTGCTCTTTTTTTTTCACTGGGTAATTATTTAAATTGTTTTTTTTTTCCCCTTTCTAAAACCTCGCCTTTGTTTTATATGATGATGGGCTCCATTTATGTAATTTCAGCTTTTTTTTTGTTTTGATTTGTGTGGTTAACTTGATGGCATATATATATATAAAATGATGCTCTTGCTTTGGCATTCCGTAATGGGTTCCAGTTTGTTGCATCCTGTTGTGTGTCTGTGCTGGCGTTTTTTTGGTGGTTGTGGTGGAATTCTCTGTTTCTTTTTCCTTTTTTTTTCTTTGTTGTTTCTTTTCCCCTCTCCTGTGCTGTGCATTGGCAAAGCAAAACACACACGAGTAAGCAAGCATGAAATCTCACGTGCATCAGTTAATCTGCTCTGCACTACTGCTGTTCCTCCTCTGCTGTGCCTACGGGTGCGCTGCTGCTGTTGTGAATCTGAAGAGTGAGGATGGCTGGGAACCCATTCGTATTGGTGTGTATCCAGGAGGTTTATCCGTATGGATTAAATCATGTCGCAGGTATAGTACCAACAAAGTGTCATTTGGTAGCTTCGCTACGGTTACTTATGAAAAATTGATCATCTGCGACCCAGTAACTGGAATAACGCCGGAAAAGGCAAAAATGATGCATAAGGTTGTTGTTGAAGGGTCCCGCCTACACATGGATCGTCTCCTCGTAAAACCTGTGAAGGGAAACTTGTTAATTGAGAAACACCATGGGTATGACTTTAAAGAGCGCTGTCCAGATGCCTTTCCTCGTCGTGACCATCTCACAAAGGGTATCCCAAAAGTTGATTTCGCGCTGTATTTGGGTCTTACAGCATCGCATGAAGAACACCGGATTTGCTCTAAAGATGCCAATGGGCGTCCGACATCTGGCTTGATAAAGCTAAATCCGAAGGAATTTAACAATACAAGGCATTACATTCGTTTGGCTGCACATGAAATTGGTCATGCACTTGGTTTTACCCTTGAAGAGTTCAAAGAGAATGACATGCTGTTGGAGGAGAAAAGCAATACCGGAAGGAATATTATGGCTCTGTTGACGGATACTGTGAAGAAGAAGGCGCAAGATCATTACAACTGTAAAAGTCTTAATCACATGGAGTTGGACTATCGCAGTGGTAAAAATGAGTACCCACACTGGAAGCGACGCCACGCAAAGGATGAACTTATGAGCACATACGTTAACAGGCCCTCCGCCATGTACTACACGGAATTGACACTTGCTGCTTTTCATTCTCTGCCTTATTACAAAGCCGATTTCAGCAAAGCAGAAACGATGACATGGGGCCGGAATGCCAGTTGTGAATTCCTTACAGGAAAGTGTGTAGAGGACAGTACTCCCAAGTTTCCTGAGATGTTCTGTAATGATAGCACTACTGTCCTGCGTTGCACCACTGACCGCGCATCCCTTGGGACGTGCTCAATGAAACAGCTTGCCTCTGATGTTCCCAGGGAGTTCCAATACTTTACTAACAAGCGAATTGGTTCACCTTCCAGTGATATGATGGACCACTGCCCAGTCATTGAATCTTCTTGGAAAACATCGTGTGAATTTGGTGATGAAGATGCAATGCCTGGTAGTATTGTGAGCAATATGTCACGATGCCTGGAGGGAGAATTCCTGGAACCGCGTGAACCGAAGTATATCGGTACGTTCCGCGACATTTGTGCGAATGTGAAGTGTGAAAACGGCATCTTGAAGGTGCAGTATAAGGGAAACGAGAAGTGGCACGAGTGCACCGATGGGAAGCGCATTGACATTGAGAAAGGTCCAGCGTTATATGGTGGAAAGATTGTTTGTCCCAAATACAGCGATTTCTGCACGGATAAGCCAGAGGAAAGCCAATAAACGTTTCCCCTACCGATTCCGTTGAAAGTCTCTGAGCTGCTGCAACGTAAAGAGGGAGACTCGACTCAATGCAGGAGGAAGCCACGAGGAACGGGAAGAACAGGAAACACCGGAGGGTCATGAGAAGCTGGGCTCCCTGGAGCACGAAGAACATGCGGACAGTGATGGCAAGGCGGCTGTGGAAACTGTTCTTGAAGATTTCAATACTGAGGAGTATACGAAGAATAGAGGACAATTTATCTTTGAAGAACTGGTTCATGCTATACTGAACCCCAAGAGCGGCGATGTTGATTCCACGGGTTCACAAGATAAAACAGTGGCAGCATCAAGAGCCCCCCAACTAGAGTAAGGTGTGCACCATGACACCAGATGGTGGCAGTCGTCTGATCCCAAAAA